GTTTCTCCTCCGTAATTATGGGTTTTTCCAGTTACTGACTGAAGCACAAAAAACACAGCCAGCATTTAGCATACCACAATATAGTTTCTCAGGTTGGTTCTTCAGACAGGACTCAGCCAATGGTTCATGCCAGGATCTCTCATAAAGCTACATGGATGTCAAAAGGCCTCACACCCCCGTCTTCCTGTGCATTGATGCTGATGTAATACACTAAGCACTACTTTTCCCTTGTATCCCCTTTCTGCCTTCCTTTCAGCAGGACAGCTGGGGTATAAGCAAAGGACAGATGATAACCACGTCTCTTTAAGTCCCCCCCCAAAGGGGGACAAGGCCACTTCCATATAATTTAAACAAGGCATATGACAAATCTACCCAAATTTAGCAAAGGAAAAATAGATCATGGCTCTTGATGGGAGGAATGGCAATGAATTTATGGCTAGGGGAGTTTAATTAGATCTATGGTAGTCCTTAAATTCTGGTTGCTTATCATTGTTGTGTTTGTTGTTCAAGACAAACACCTTTGCTACCTATTCCCAGAGCCGGCTGGCTATTGTGGCTGGCTCCTGTTTCTTTCTTGGTATCTCTTGTTCTGTCTACATAAAACTGACCCCATAGAGATGCAAAAATAAGGGCACTAATGTTTAATATTTATTGGCAGTGCTCACCATCAGTCAAGCACCATTTCAAGCACTTTATTTTTAGTTATCTAATACGTATAGGTGCTAGAGTTAAACTCATTTTGCAGACAAAACCCTGGGGCACAGAGAAAGAATGCAACCTGTCTGAAATGATTGCCTAGTAAGGAATGGATCTAGGAGTTGCACATATGAGTTATGCTACCTGATTGACTCCAGAGCCCACATTTGCTCCATGTCTTGATTTGTTTGGTTTTGTTCTATTTTTTTAATGAATGAACCTATAGAACTACTGAGTTATGTCATTCTAGAAAAGACTCCTTTAAAATTGAATGCTTCACATTCAAAAAACATAATTCACGGACAGGGCTTAGTTTCTTGGTACAACATGCAAGGCTGAGAAGTGGAACCAATTGTTTCAAATGTAAATAGGCGAATCCAGAGTTTGGCTCTCTGCACACTGGCTGGTCCTTGAGAGGAAAGGAGACAGAGGTACCCAGATACACCACTACACCACCCATTTTAGATGTTCAACAGAAACGGGTGGTTCATTTACTCTTCTATCACCCCAACCACTATCCTGAACTGATTGGGGGCATTAGTAAGCAGGCAGGATTGAGCTCCCCACCACTGGCATCTTTGCAGATGAAAACTTGTATAAACGCCAGTTACCCTGGTTTTTAATGAGTTTTTATTGGACACTCCCGATTCACTCTTAGAAAGACTTCCTTTCTGCTTGCCTTATCTTCTCTGATGCAATTGTTTCTGAAACAATGTAGCATAGTAAGCTATGTTGCCTTCCTCGTGGTTTCATACCCTATTTCTTTTGGAAATAGAAAGGGAAGGTGGCAGAGGATGGTGCTCAGTAACATCTTGAAACTGCTTCCTAAGGCCACCGGAATGAGAGCGAGTGGGCAGAGGCATAGACTATGAAAGGCATCCCCAAGGCTCGAAGAGACATTTCTCTAGCATCATCTAGCTCAGTCCTAAAGAGTGCTTTCCTAAGCCAACTCTAGGAAGCCTGGGTAGGGATATGAGAATTGCAACTTTGGGTCAGGAGACCAGGACTGCAACCCAGACCCCCTACCCCCAGCCCCCACTAACTAGTTGTCTAATCCTTAATCAGATGCTTTGTCTTTCCCGGCTCATTTTCCTCATCTGTCAAGTCAAATGAAGGTTCCGGAATAGATGATCTCTAAAAACCCTTCCAGCTCTACAGTTCTATTCTGGGTCCCTCTGCACCTGCAGATAGACGTGTGGGGGCAGGAAGGGCACTAGGAGGGGGAGGGATGTAGCCAGGGAAGTAAAACACTTTCACCTGCAGCAGCCTTGTGTCCTTATGTGTGCTGCACAGTGCAAGCGTGCCTCAGATTATCCAGATAATTGATTGAGTTCCCTCCTTTCTTTTGCCAATGGACACACAGCTTTCATTTGGCTGGGAACAGCAGCTGCTTTTCCTGAAATTTCCATCCAGGGCTTCCATCCTCTGCTGTGTCCTCTGGGAAACCTGTCATGTTTTTTTCTGGATGGATGCCCATAGAATTTTAATCCAGAGAGAGAGAGAGAGAGGGAGAGAGAGGGGGGGGGAGGGAGGGAGGGAGGGAGGGAAGGAGGGAGGGAGGAAGGGAGGAAGGGAGGGGAGGGGAGAGGAGAGGAGAGGGGGAAGAAAGACAGGAGGGGAGTGGGACCCAGAACACTGCCCAACAAAAGGCCAGATGTAGTTAGTAGTTATGGATTGACTTTTTGTTTAATTTGGTTATTTCAAGTTCTCAGAGCCTAGATGTGCGTCTGGTAACAATATTATTTATACTGCAAATACAGAGCTCTGACTAAAGCCAGTGAGTTAACATAGTTAACTGGTTCATCTAGAGACCACAGAAGACAGCCTTCATATGTGTTGGAGACCTCCCGTCCTAATGTCTTCCTTTCCCAAGTAAGCATTTGTAGATCCAATAACAGTGCTGGTGGTGTGTCTCTGCCCTCAGAACTTAAGAGGTCCCCAACTTTAAAAAGTGCAATTTTCTAACTAAGTTGTAGAAAGATCTTCACCTTCCCCCTTGACAGTAGAGATGTGAATTCCTGAATTCTGAACCCAGACAGTTGTCAGACAACTTGGAGACACAGGGAATTGGATTTTGTTCATCGCAAATCAGGTTGGTGCAGGATGATGGGCTCCTAAGAAACGCTCCTGGCTAGTAATAAACAGCACGGTCAAAGAAAAACTTCCTGTTTTGGCTGCCATCTCCTGCTATTTGGACAAAACAAATGAAAATGAATGTCACTCAGAATGTTTTGGCATTGACATTAAGGGCATAGCCCTATGTCTCTTTGAGCAACCTTCATGCCTTGGGGATTCTGGAAACTCAAAGCTAGGTAACTAAAATCAGAACCCTGAGAAATTGATGAAGACCTCGAACACTTCTGAGGTCATGGACAGAGAGGAGTTCAAATTCTGTATTCATTGACCTGTAGATTGGACGAGTGACTGAACTTCTCTTGGAGTCTGCATTCTTTTAACCCTGACCTGGAATGCCGCTACCTTCCTGAGAAAGGGCTTCAGAATATTAAATGTGTTTAGACAACCAATATGCCAGCGTTCAAAACAAACAAACAAAAGCTCTTGAGTTCTTACTTGTAGCAAAATATGCAAACTTTGCCTCTAAGAAAGTGGAGGGACAGCCACCAAAGCAAAGCAATACAGAAAAACCCTGTCTCGAAAAACCAAAACCAAACCAACCAACCAAACAAACAAAAATAAATAAATAAATAAAAGAAAGAAAGGAAAGTGGAGGGGTAGGGGCCGGCTCCCCAAAAATCAGAAAAGAAATCGTGAACTGGCCACTCTTTTTAAAAGACTTTTCCCCAGGCCATGACTTCTCGGTGTGTCGTCTGTCTGATGATGTCCTCTTGGTAACTAGGAGACTGCAGAGTCCTAAGGCCTAGGGCCCTGGATCCATTTAAGGGTTCTGTCTGGGCAGTTGCTGAGATCCCAGTGATGCCTCGGAGAGGGGGACTCCCACTCGCTCTAAAGCAGGAGCCTGGGCGCCCCACTCTGGTTATCCCGAGCCACCCGCCGCCTGGTGAGTGGGTGTGGGTCTTTGGGCTGGAATTCAGGACCAGCACCCGGAGCCCTGCTCCCGACCTATCTCAGCAAGCAAATAGGGCACCCAGTCGAGAGCATCCGAGGCCTCGGGAGTCCTCCTTCACAGACGTGGTCATTGTTGGGGCCAAGAAGGCAGGCGGTGCTTCTCCATACAGCGGGCTGGCTCGCGAAGGAGGGACCCCTTTCTTCACTCCGCTTCCTCGTCTTCCTCCCAGCCCCGCAGCGACTGCGGGGCGGCGTTGCAGGCAGTTGCCACCCGGTCGCCAGGGAGGTGTCCGCGTCTTGAGGGCTGCGCCCACGGAGATGTCTTTGAGCTCTCAATTTGCCTCCTGGGAAACTCCTCGCCCAGTGCACATCACTCAACACAGTCACCCTAAGTCTCCCCAGCCGTATAGTCAAAGCCCGAGGTCTAAGGGACCAAACGTGGTGGCCCCTAAGGGGCCCAGAGGTGGCGTGGAGAGCAGTGCGGTTACCCGGCTTGGCCCGACCCCTCCACGCTCAACAGCCTCGAGGGACCGCGGCGGTGGCCTGGGGGGGTGGTGACAGCCGGACGATGGGGCTGGCGCCGGAGACCCTCGGAGGCCACCACACACACACACACACACACACACACACACACACACACACACACACACTCGCTGCCCTCCCCACTCACTCCCTGCCTCCCACCTTCTCGCCAAGACCCCCGCCCCTCCCCCGCCCGCCTCCTCCTCCCCATTCTTGGAATTGTGTGGAAAAATTCTCAGCCAAACCTCCCACCTCTCCTCTCCTCTCCCCCCCCCAACTCCCTTTTAAAAACCCCTTTCCTCCGCCGGCCCCTGCACTCTTTGTGAATGAGGGCCGCCGGGGACACGGCCCTTCCCCCGCCCAGGAGCCACGCCAGACCGCCGCACTCACAGGACTGTTTGTTAATAGTCCAATTAGATAATTGCCATCTTTCACTCCTTTTGCTCCGCGTTTCCCATAAAGGAATGAATGGGGAGAGCGGCGTGGAGAGGGCTTCTGCCCCGGCAAGGTGACGAGAAGGGCTGGAGCAAGCTCCTTGCACAAGGCCGTGCGCTTGAATTGAATCATTGTGGCCTAATCAATGCTGTTATTGGATTACTGGCTGTTGCTTTTCTCAAAGACATTGTAGCAAGACAATGAAATAGCTAGGGGGAAACTTTTTTTTTTTGAAGCAGATCTCACAGTTGAGATCTCTCTCTCTCTCTCTCTCTCTCTCTCTCTCTCTCTCTCTCTCTCTCTCTCTGTCTCTGTCTCTCTGTCTCTCCTCTCTCTCTCCCTCTCTCTCCCTCCACCCCCCTCCTGCTGGACTCTGAGTACAAAGCTGCCCTTTGAATGGGTTGCCTCAGGGCTGTTGGAGGTGCAGGCGTGGAAAAAAAAATCCAACTGAGGCTACAGGAAGAGGGGCGGCAGTTTAAGATGGCTGTCAGCATCGAGGTGTGTTAAAAGAGTGGAGAAGGCTTGGCTTTTTTTTGGAGTGTGTGTGTGGGGGAGACTTTAGGGGGAAACTTTTCTCCTCCTCCCTTCCCTCCCCACCCAGAGGCAATTGCTTTCTTCAGCTCCATGGACTGAGGGGGTGCCCCCCTCCCCATTCAGCTCTACGCGGAGAGCCTGGAGGAAACCCCCTTTAGCCAGTATGCGAGCGGGAAGGTCAAAGGCAAAGAGAAAGTTAATAATGCCTGCTAATGGTGCTAACAATTCAGGATGAATCTTGTCAAAAAGTTTTTTTTTTCTGGAAGTGTGGGTCTTTGATTGTGTTTCCCGAAAGCAAGACCAATCATTTCCGTTTATTCACTGGCTAAACCCCCTACTTGATTGGGGACAGGGACAGAAACCATCCATTACGATCTGATATATTATCCAAACAATTTAGTGTATTCATGAGGTAACCGAAACGTGGGGGCCGCGAAATTACCCGTAATCAATTGCAAACAGCGAGTGTGCGTCCCCCGGGTGTCGGACAACCACAACTCAGGCCGTCTCAGTAACAGGCGGAGCCGCCGCGTTTTGGAGTTGCGCTGTTCGCTACCTGATCGCCAGGCTGGGGACACTGGACGTGCTCAGAGAACGCGAGCGGCTGACGAGGCGGCCTCGCCACTACTCCACCGGGATCCTGGGACCAGACCTGCAGCCTCTCTCCTAGCGCGCCACTCTCCTGTCGCCGCTGACCCTCCGCGGCCGCCGAAGCCACCCCGCGGGGACATTCATTCTCGCGGGCGACGGAGCTTAGGGGCTGCGTTGTAGGGGTTTTGTCCCCCCTCTGCCTCTCTCTCTTTTTTTTTCCTCCCTACCCCCTCCCCCTTCTCTTCTTTTCTGTGTTGTTTTGCCTATGTTCGGGAAACCAGACAAAATGGACGTCCGGTGCCACTCGGACACCGAGGCCGCCAGGGTCTCCAAGAACGCGCACAAGGAGAGCCGGGAGATCAAGGGCGCCGAGGGGAGCCTTCCGGCCGCCTTCCTCAAGGAGCCGCAGGGCGCCTTTTCGGCGTCTGGCGCTTCGGAAGATTGTAACAAAAGTAAATCCAATTCCTCCGCAGACCCGGATTACTGTCGCCGGATCCTAGTCCGAGGTAGGGATGGGCAGGGCTTTGGGGCGCGTTCTTTTGGGGGGTAATTCCCTGGCCGCAGCTGCGCGCCGCCGCCCAGGGCTGGCGAGGACTTGGGAGAAAGTTGTGACTGGTCCTCTCTCGGGTGCGGCCGGACGCAGGGGATCCGAGCCTGGGGCTCCTCTGAACTCGCTCTCTCGGGGCCTCGGCCCTAGCAGCCTTGAGGGGCCCCGGCAGCCCGGCTACGGAAAGGAACCCGGGCACTGAGAGCGAGGGGTGGGCAGGGTCACCAAACTGCGGCTTCGGACCCGGGTCCTCACCGGGGACGTGCGCGCGTCCTTCGGGATAAGGACCTGCTGGTAGGAGGCCTGCGTGCTCCTGAGCCCCGGAGGGCAGAGCGCACCCAAGGGAACCCTGGGCGTGGAAGGGCAGCCTTCCGCCTCAGGACAGCGCCCGGCCAGTTGCCTGCCTGGGCTGAGTGAGGGCCCTGGCGCTGAGCTCCCGGCCTGGCCGCTGCAGCCTAGAGAAACCGCGCGGGGATGCGGATGCCGCCTCCTTGCTTGTCTCGGCCTCGTTCAAAGAGCGGGGTGCGCTCCTCCCGGGCTTTAGCGGCTAGGAGGCCGGCTTCAGCCGGCGCCGCCCCCGCCAGCAGATAGCCAGGCCCCGCAAGCGGGTTTTTCGGTCCCTCCTCCTTCCACCGCCTGGGTAGAAGCCGGCCAGACACCCGGGGTGGGGGTGGGGAATGCAGGAGCGCAGGCTGCTCAGCAGGCTGGGGCCATGCTGGGGCTGGGGTGTTCAGTAACGGCCCCTCTGGGCTACTGCGGACTCGGATCACGCAGCAGAGGCCCCGTAGGCCAGAGGGAACATCCACCTATTTGGAACTGATTTTTTTTTTTTCCTATTCGGGTGTCTGGGGAACTCTACCAAGACAAAGTCCGGTTACTCTTCCAATTAATACTGTGAAGTTAGCTCCTTTGGTCTCCACACACCCACCGGGTCTCGGCTTTAGGATTGCGGCCACCCGCCGCATCCTGCCGGGAGACTGGTTCCTAGCTAGCTCGGGGCAAGGAGGAGGAGAAAACCCCGAGGGTTCTGGTGGCTGACATCTACCCTTCCCTAGATGCCAAGGGGTCTATCCGAGAAATCATCCTGCCCAAGGGCCTGGACCTGGATCGGCCCAAGAGGACACGCACGTCCTTCACGGCGGAGCAGCTCTACCGGCTGGAGATGGAGTTCCAGCGTTGCCAATATGTGGTGGGCCGGGAGAGAACCGAACTGGCTCGGCAGCTCAATCTTTCTGAGACCCAGGTACCCAACTGCCAGGGTGCTCGCAGCCCCAGGCTTCCTCTCCAGTCTGCCTTTCCTCATTATCTTCCTTGCTGCTGACCAAACCGCCCAGGGACATGGAGGAGTTGGAAAGGACACGGGGATACGCCTAAGGCTTCCCCCTCTTTTTAAAATTACCCGTTTCCGAATCTCCACATCCTCAAGTCCTCCAGGGTCTCATTTCTTCACACCCTGGCTTGGCCCGGGGGACCCCATATATTTAGTCCTTTTGGAATTCCTTTTGGTTCTCAGACTTTAGAATTTCTGGATGGCTTCTGATTTACAAAAGGCTGGTCGTCGTCGTACCCCCTGCCCCCCCCCACTGTTTGGATACATACCATTTTGGCTATATTCCCAGTAACACCCAGCTTTGGGACCCTTGGGTTTACCCAACACCCAGATCCGTTCTGCAGGAAGCAGAAAACAGTGCCAACTCTCAGAGACCCGCCTGTGCAAATATGACACCCCCACCTCTTATATCCTAACCCTGAGCATCCCTCTGGGATGCTAAGAGGCGCTGTCCTCTGTGCCAGCGACTGGGCAGCAGATCTGGTGACTTGGGTACCAGCACTGCACATAATGCCTTTTGCATCTTAGACCCCCTCTCCTTATCCTTACCACAAAGTCCCATGTAGTACTTTACATAAGCACTACAAGGCTGAGGAGGGTTTGCCCGGTGTGGGCTGTTTTGGGTCAGCCAGGGTGTGCTAACAACTTGTCAGTTTTCTTCCTAGTGTCTTCCTCTATGCCTAGCCCGAAACAGGTGGAGCGCATTTTAGGCCTAAAATCTGGGTTGAGAACTGAGGACAGAATGGGGGGAAAAATCTGAGTTTGAGTTGGCATAGTGACATGTCTTACTATGTGTGTTAACCCCCAACTCCTTTAGCTTTCAAAAATCTAAATAGGATGTCGTCCGTGTGTGTATCCCCCCCCCATATAGCCTCTATTCTAGGCCAAAAGAGGCAGAAGGGGAAGCAGCATTGAATGTATTTAGTCTACATCGGTCTCCTGTCTTCCTTGACTCCAAAGTCCCCGATGGAGTGCAGATACCCTTTGGGCTCTTCAAACTAGCTGGTGCTGAAAGGCAGAGAAAGCCAGGCTTAGGAAGTCCGCCCTGCTTTCACCCACCTTCTCTGTCTGCTTCTGGGCAGTCTTTGGCCTAACGAGCAGGGAACAACCCCTTGGAGTCTCCAAGGGGCACAGTTAGATTTTCTGGGGCCAAATGTGAGCTCACCGGGCTAGCGACCTGGATCTAGAAAGGCGGAGGACACACTTGTTCCAGGCACCTCAGTCAGCTTCCCGCAAAACCTTCCCCAGGCCTGCTCTCAGGCTCTCCGGGCGGGCTGTGCTGATTCAACAGTTTGTGAACAGAAAAACGCCTCCGTGGGTATTGCGGCAGTCCAGTGAAATATCCCTGTCTTCCTTCCTTGTTAGTGTCGTGGACGTTTTATTTACTTTGCTTTTGTAACCCGCTCTGGCCTAGGCCTGCTTGAATGACCCGGAAGCGTAGCCCAGTGGAATGGTGTCCCCCTCGTGGTGGCTCTTGCTCCGCTAGAAGCTTCGGAGCCTCGATCCTCTGCTGCGGGGTGGGGCTGCGACTAGGGCTGGGATTAGGGAAGGGTCCCGGTAACCCAGACACCCCCCCCCCAAATAACCCTGCTGCCTTTGACTCTGCTCTTTTCCTGCTGCTCTCTCTTCCAATTTCCTTGGCGCATATCTGCGTTCAGGTGAAGGTCTGGTTCCAGAATCGGCGAACCAAGCAGAAGAAGGACCAGGGCAAGGACTCCGAGCTGCGGTCGGTGGTGTCGGAGACCGCCGCCACGTGCAGCGTGCTGCGGTTGTTGGAGCAGGGCCGCCTGCTGTCGCCGCCCGGCCTGCCTGCCCTGCTGCCTCCCTGTGCTACCGGCGCTCTCGGCTCGGCGTTGCGCGGGCCCAGCCTCCCGGCCCTGAGTGCTGGCGCTGCGGCGGGCTCCGCCGCTGCTGCCGCCGCCGCCGCCGCCACTGCCCCGGGGCCCGCAGGCGCGGCATCTCAGCACCCGCCTGCCGTGGGCGGCGCTCCCGGCCCAGGGCCTGCAGGGCCCGGGGGACTGCACGCAGGAGCACCCGCTGCCAGCCACGGTCTCTTCAGCCTGCCGGTACCGTCGCTGCTAGGCTCCGTGGCAAGCCGCCTGTCCTCCGCCCCGTTGACGATGGCTGGTTCGCTAGCCGGGAATTTGCAAGAACTTTCAGCCCGGTACCTGAGCTCCTCGGCCTTCGAGCCTTACTCCCGGACCAACAATAAAGAAGGGGCCGAGAAAAAAGCGCTGGACTGATTTTAAGTGTTACCCTGTATTTATATTTATAACATCTATTGTGGTGGTATTTATGGACTCGCGCGGCGCGTTAGGCGCCCAGGGCTCCTGCGCTGGCCTTCCTGGCCCCCACTAGGCCTGTGACTGCTCCCCCATACGCGCCCCTCCCCGCAGGCTACTGATTTCATCTCACTTGAGCTGTTTTTTGTTCTTCTCTCTACTTTTCCTCCCTCCCTCCAAAACCAGCTTCCTTCTGAATCCAGGAATGATCCAAAGAATTGGGGAGAAATACCCGAGTTAACCAATCCCTGGTTCCCCCATCCCTACCAGTCAGGGAGGGAACACACTCAGCCTAACCCTAACCCCCCCCCTCACACACACACACACACCTGTTCTGGTTAGGGGCACTGACGCACCGCTCTTACGAATTTTTGAAAGAGGAAATATGTTCGCAGGCCGCCAGGGACTAAAAAAGGCTTCTCGGTTTCTTTAGACCCCCCCAAAAGGGCCTATCTCCTCTTGTCAAAGAAACCAGGGTTTTTGGAGTTCTTGGCCCCGATTTTTTAGATCTCTCAGGATAACTGGTGCATAGTCAGCTCCTGTCCGAACAGAGCTGATGAGTTTTACTCCCTTTAGAGAAACTCTAATCGCAAGCCCCTCGACCCCGAGAAACTATAAATCAAACGTCTTGTTAGGTAAAGGTGGTAATAAATTTGATCTAACAGCAATAAGGCAAGAGTAATTGTTATATAAAACCAGATAAAATTGTTACCTATTTTCAAACACTCATAAATAGTTGGGTTTGCAAAATGTAAGGAATTCTTGCTAGAGAACGCATCACGGGGGCCGTGCAAAATTAAAATCCTGAGTGCTATGACGTTAAATAGGAACTTAAAGAGGAAAAGCCAATGATGCCAAGGAGGAACGATTCAGGGCCATGGCTGTCCTCCCAAGACAGCGCGGTGGCTGGTGGTCGGCTCCCAGACGCAAAACTAAGGTGGAATGGCTGGGCTTGGAAGCAAATCAACACCGGCTGTCTGCTGTCTTCTGAACTTACATCTGCAAAGGGTTTTCACTCCCCGGGCTTCCGGAGCACTTCCTTTCAGAAGGACTGTTGGGATGGATGCCCAGCACTATGGCCTTCACGGGTCCTAGTTCCTTGGTACCAGTGGTTCTTTGCATGGCACACAGGGCACACACCTCTTCCTTCTCAACCCCACCACGTGGGTGCAGCAACCCGAGCCCCCAGAGCCACCACCACCTTATTTTAACCAAAACCACAGGCCCAGAGCGCGAGGTGCCTCAGTGTCTGGAATGTATTCACCCATCTGAAACAAGCGCAAAACATTAAAAATATTAGTAACTTTATTGTAAATTATTTACATGCGAAGTTTTTTTCCCTTTTCGTTTTTTTCATTTCTTTTCTTGTTTCACTTTTTCTTTTCTTTTTTTGTTCCTCTCTCTTTCTCTCTCTCTCTCTCTTAGGTAAATAGTGAAGAAAATAACGAATGATTCAAACGCGGGTAGGTGTCACTGAATCCTGGCTACTAACTGTGTTCTGGATGTCTTGGCTCTTTGGATGTTTTTGTATTTATGTGGTGAGAGTGAAAAAAATATATATCTATGATGATGACAAAGTGTATTTTTGTCCTATATTTGAAAGATTTAAACACACACACACACACACACACACCAAAAAGAAGATTCAGCAAATGATGAGTCTCAGGGGTTAGGGTGTGAGTCCCGGAAGTGCAGGGAGGAGGGCCAGGACACAACCCACTCTCTGGGGAATGGACTTTACAGTGCAGGGGTGGGGGCGGGGAGGTGTTTTTGTCCCTGAGGAGACCTGCTTCTGGTCCTGAGCTCTCTTTGTCCGAAACACAGGTTTCTCAGTGCTGTCCTTTCTGTCCCGCACACGTTTCTGTCTCCCAACGTGCTCACCTTGCTCCTAGAGCTTTTTTCCAGCTGCTTCAACATTGGGTTCTTAGGCAAATCCGTGGTCCCGGACAAGCAAGATTTTAGTTAATTTATTTTGCCTTAGAAATTTCTTGGCCATTAAGCAGAAACTTTGAAGGCAAAATAAAACGGTCTAGATATGAATCCCTCGTGTGTGTGTGTGTGTGTGTGTGTGTGTGTGTGTGTGTGTGTGAACAGACTCTCCTTCATCCACAACCGGAACGCAGGTTTGGCCCAGGGTGGAAGCCTTGCGTCTGGACTTGGGGGAAGGTGGGAGTGGTCCTGGAAGATGCTGGCCTTGGACATGACCAACTCCAAAGCTCCAGCAGCAGGCGCAGCGGGAGGGGCCACAGGGTGGCATCCCCACAAGCGGGTATTGCTGGTGCAGGGACCACAGCTCCCTGGCAGGGGCAAGATAGCCCCTGGACCCCAAATTCATATGCTATGCCTGCACTCCCCTGTGGAGTAATCCAAAGGCAGGGACGGAGTGGTGTCAGTGTGGACAGCAGATACTTGAAGTGCTTAGGAGGGGTGGGGTGGGGGTGGGGCTGTCTCGGGCTCTGGGTTCTGCTGACGTCAGAGCAGCAGCCCACACACACAACACACACACAGTTCACTTTTTTTTTTTTTTTTTTGCTTTTCAAAGTCGGGTCCCACACTCTCAGTTCTATGTTCTCCCTCTCCCTCCACTCTTCCCTCCCTCCCTCTCTCCTTCCCTCCCTCTTTCCCTCTCCTCTTCTCTTCCCAGATTCCATCTCTCCCTTACACCGGCTGCCCCAAAGTCAAGGCTGTGTGTGGCTCTGTCTTCCCTGTCAAAGCTAGTGGCTGGGGCCCTCCTGGAACAGAAGGTGGCATAATCGTGTGGAACAAAAGAAAAACGCAAAATCCTAGCTTTGGGTCCCCAAGAGGTTTGGCCCCTCTGCAGCAGCAGAGGCCAGGGAGGCTTCTTCCCAGCTCCGGTGGGTGTCACAATCTCTTCACACTTCCCACCTTGCTTTCTTCTCCCAAGAAGGAGAATTGTCCCCACCCATGCCTCTCTCCCTGTCACCTCCCTTCCCTCTTTGGCTCTGGGCAGAGCTCCTAAGCTGGGCGCCTGCCACTTAGGGAGCACAATTGTTCTTAAAGGGCCTCTTCTCCCATGAAAAAGAATCACAGTTTTAATTAAAAAAAATAAAAACGTTTGTAGACAATCCATTTAATTTTAGTGCCTGTCTTGTCTCCCCTCCTCCTGAAGGGCCTCAAGCAAGCTGCCTTACTTTCTGGAGGCCTCTGGAACTGGAGACTCCTAGGGAAGAGGCAGGTGGCTTTGGTGACAACAGCTGGCTCCACTCGGGAGAAGGTGGGAGGGCTCCTGGGATGCAGGAACAGCTGGGGTGGGGGCTGCTGAGAGGACTGTCATTCTCAGGCCTGTACAAAGCATGGTCCACGGCGGTAGAGCCAGCAGAAAGGAAAGGAAAGAAATCCTTCCTCCAACCCCCTGTGGCTTTGCTGGTCAGGTCTGGCAAGTTAGTTAGGGAGTCGGTTTGGGGGGCTCAGACGCCACTCTTTCAGGGGGCCTCACTCCCTGGTGGTCATGTTGCTCCCTCTTGAGCAGCATGAGCAGCAGTTAGCTACTCTTAGGGCTTACAAATAGGGATGCACACACACACACACACACACACAAACACACACACCTGAGTTGTTCCTTTGCTTGCTTCTTTTCCTAGAGGAGAGAGAGAAGAGAGAGAGAGAGAGAGAGAGAGAGAGAGAGAGAGAGAGAGAGAGAGAGAGAGAGGCACAGAGAGGGCAGAGAAAAATGTTGAGTGTCTTTCTCACTTTCCATCTGCTTCTGAGGACAGGGTCTCTCGCTGGACCTGGAGCTTATGGATTCAATAACATTAGAAGGCCAGGATGCCCCAGATACCCTCTTGTCTCTGTTCCAGAAGCACTAGGTTCACAGGTGCTTGTCACCACACTAGGTTTTTTTTTGTTTGTTTGTTTGTTTTTTACATAAGTACTGGGGATTCAAACTGAGGTCCTTATGTTTGTGTGGCAAGCACTTTGCCAGTGAGCCATCTCCCAGGCCCCGGGTTGTGCGGTTTTAGCAAATTTCCAAGGAGGTTCTTACTCACAGGCACTAACACTTGACAGTCGCTGCGTTGAGTGATGACCGACCCTCTACAACAATCCCCAGCATGTGGCCCAGGGACTAGGGGCTGGTGGAAATATAATGAATGTTTATTAAACAAATTAATCCCCCGTTTCTGACCCAGTATAGAGTTTCTTGGACTATATATGGTAACTTAATACTATTTTTATACAGGAAAATCATTACATTTCACAGTGCTTTTTTTTGGAGCAGGAGAGGAGAGAGGAGTCTTGTCTGTGTTCTAAGCTCTCTGTGAGGGTCTTTTGTAGCTTAGCTTGGACCTCCTTGTTGAACTGTCTTTCAGGCATGGTGATTAAGAAAGAATAGGACAGTAGACCCATTAGGTTTACTGAACTCAACGTCCTTGTTGGAGGGACACCAGAACTGGGGGTGGGGTGGGGAGGGGAGGCTACCAGAATAGAAACTCTAATGAGAAGCTTGGCTTATACTCCCCTTACTCTGATGTAGAGTCCCCTGGGAGGTCTGTGTTATACCCAGGATATCATGCATATAAGGCAAACACCCTAGCACTGAGTTCCATTCCAGCCCTTCCCCTTAAGCAGAAAACAGAAATTATTGTGCTGACTATAGTAGTGTTCAGCCCTTCTTGTAAATAAATCATATCATGTATGTGTACAATTTTTAATATAGAAAGGTTTTCTTCCTATAAAACTATATGAAAAAGTTTCATTGAAAACATTTGTCATGCATGTAAAAGTATAGACAGCAACAGCATGAATGTAAACGCATGTTCCTCAGTGTACCACAAGGCTGATGACTCTGGCTTGACACACAAAGGAAAAACAATTCGTGTTACCGATTATTGTTTGTGACTTTGGAGTCAGATGGCTTGGGTTCAAATCCCAGGCCTATCACTGAATAGTAAGATCTCAGATGGAGCACACAGTGGGCTGTTCCAAGCCCATGCCTCTGTGCCAAAATGAAGACAGTAAAGATCCTTATTGCTCAACACTGTAGCATGTGATTAAGGCAGGGAAAGCATATCGTAAAGGCTCTGTACAAACTCTATACTCAAGGGCCAGAGAGAGGTGGCTTGGCAGTTAAAACCCCTTGCTGTTCTTGCTCAGGACCTGGCTTCAGTTCCTGGGTTCATTTACCCTGTGGCTAACTCTCTGTGTGTCCAGCTCCAGGGGATCCCATGTCTTCTTTTAGCCTTCGTGGGCACCAAGCATGCACATGGTGTACATGCATACACAGGCCAAACACCCACACATGTGAAATAGCAACAAATAAAATTTAAAAATATTTAAAAAAAGACTTTGAAAAGCCTATACTCAAAGTATAGGTCCACTCCTGCTTTAGACTGGGTACCACACACATTAGTGAACACAGCCTTTTTTTCTTTTTTCTTTTTTTTAAACTAGCCAGGCAGTGGTGGTACACACCTTTAATTGATACAGTAGTCTATCCACATGTATGCCTCCCGGCCAGAAGAGGGCACCAGATCTCATTATAGATGGTTGTGAGCCACCATGTGGTTGCTGGGAATTGAACTCAGGACCTCTGGAAGAGCAGCCGGTGCTCTTAACCTCTGAGCCATCTCTCCAGTCCCTTTTTTTCTTAACTCCAAGCAATGGATAACTCTTGCAGGGATTTGGAAGACAGACCTCAGCTACAGACCCTTAACTGTCCATGCGTTGGAGACCGATTGCCTCCACTAAGAGAGCTTCTTGACAAGTCACACTGCACTTCTGAGGAGTCACCAGTGACTTGTAGACTTGGGCGGGGTTGGGGGGGTGGGGTGGGAAGGATACACATGAATCTTACACCTCGATTTTCAACAGCTTTCTTTCAAACTCCCTGAAGTGCTGGAAGAGGAGCCTGAGGAGGGCCCAGCAATGTTAGACTTCCTGGCAATCCTGCTTCCTTCCTTTTCCTCCATAGTTGTTGAACCGGAATCCCTGTGTAACAGACTTCTTGGGGGAAGTCAGCTTGAGAATCCTTTTTTTTGGGGGGGGGAGAGCATGTGAGAGGGAGCATTAAGGAAGACCAAGGACTTGGAGTGGAAGGTGGCTGATAAATAGCTTATGGAAAAAACATGGGAGTGGCCTTTAGAATTTACCACAAAGGTGGATGAGGAGTCACTGAAAAAAAATTCCTCCCAAGAAGAGGATGGACGTCTTACCTTCTAGACATCTTCCTGGAAGTCTGGGGAGAAAGGAGTTCCAGGGGAGGTTGTGTGGAGACAGAAGGGCAGGAATTCTGAGGCAAAGGCCCATTAGTCCACCCCTACAGAGACACTAGGGTGAGGAAGAGCTTCTAGTGGGGGTCAGCTGGCCCAGAGGCAGCAGAGCGATGGACTCCAGGCATTTTGCCATGAAAAGAATCCATATTTTCGGGTCAGACCGGAGGTCACTGGTGGTGGTGGGTTATCGGCTGGTTTCAAGACTGGGTCCAAGTGGTGCTTTGAAACCATTTCCCTGGCAAGTGAACGTGGAGTTGAAGCTAAGAAGGGACTGACTCCATGTGAAAAAAATGAGCAGCGTTCTTTTTTACTTGTTTTGCTTTGTTAAGAATGCTACCTTGAATTTA